AAACAAATATTATAATCAATTGTGGAAAAAAAAATATCACTTTAATGAACAATTTCCATACAAAACAAAATCAAACGAATAGAAAATTTAAAAATTTTCCGGGTGGAAAATTATACCAATCAAACACACTTGCAATCATTTTCCCTGCAAAACATTTTCTAAGCAAATTTTTTCCCTATAAAACATTTTCGTTCTACCCATTTTCCACCCTTACAATCAAACGCACCCTTATATTTTTTCATTTTCATTTGGAACACTTACGGATGGAGTCCCCAACCTATTAAAACTATAGCAAGTACATCCCAATCTAATATTTTGACAACCCTAGTCCCAGCATTTCATTTTTATAACATTTGAATTTCCAGTTGACAATTGTATCATTTTATTTTATTTAAAACTCATTTTATTTTATTAAAAATGTAATTTTACTCTTATATGTAATTAAATTATTAAATAAAATAAATAAATAAATAGAAAGCAAATAAAAGTAAAAGAAAAGACATAATGCACCCAACCTCCCACGGTCACCTCCGAGCTCCCTTGTCCGACTAGATTTTGGTTTTCTTTTAATTTTAAAAAATATTAATAAAATCGTCTTTCTAATAAAAATTGAGTGTTTATTGCTTAATCAAATATAAGCCCTTGTTTGAAATTGATTTTTTATTTTTAATTACTTTTTCTCCACTAGTATTTCAATAACAAGTTCCAAAAAATTATTTTTGACATTTCCATATAATTTTTTTCCTATTTTTAATCACACGTTTTCCAAAAATATCACTCCCCATAAAATCAATTTCACGCAAGTGCTAAGAATAAAATTGTCTATTTGGGAACTATAGTGCTAAAAGAAGAAAATGTTGAAACTATAAGTGCCAAAATATTATGTTAATGACCTATTTACTATATGTTTAATAGGTTGGGATCTCAACTAAAATATTCCCTTTTCTTTTTCAATGAGACCTTTTACTTTTTTGTGATGCAAGTCGGGGTCGGCTTGACTTGACTTGACTGAAGGCTACGAAACGGACTCGATTCGATTCTTTGGCTCGTGGACCTTATGGGTCGAGTCAAGACATTTACGAGCTTTACTTTCTTGGGTCCTATTATCTTGAATAAGAATTACATTATACATATCCACATCTCTGACTCGAATTGATTTTAGGCACGTGTTTATCATCTTTGTTAAAGTACAATTAACAAAATCCTGGTTTGGAGTTTTCGCACAACCTAAATTGAGTAGTTGAATAACATGAAGAGACGATTGTTTTTACTAGGTAGTTTAACTTATTAGGTTGTTCACAAAGTGAACACGAGATTATTGATCAAATTCCTCCGTTACTTTTGTAAGTTGTTAACTTAGGTCACATGCTTTATTCATTATTCACCTACAAACTTTGAGTAAGTGACAAATTTACTACTCACTAATAGTGTATATGCCCTAATGACAATTGTTTCTTTAATGACTTTAATCCTTTCAAACTAGTATTATAAGATTACAATCTTTGTTACTGTGTCATTATCACAAAGATGCACAAAACATCCTCTTGGTCGGTCCTCCATAGTACAGGCATCTCCTTCCTCTAGGTATGGCAACGAGCTAAGCTAAATCAACTATGACTCTCTAGACATCAAGCCCATGAATCGAGCTCTGAGTGGCTCCCTAACCAAAAATAAGACTCGAGCTTGGTCCATGAGCTCGATTCATACTAGGCTGAGCCGAGTAGTTCATGAGACCTTTTTTGTTATTATTTTTCAAAATTTTCGACTGTATATATATTTTTGAAACTGTAATGATATTAAACATTGATTTTTAATATGAGTAAAAAAATATACATATTTGAAAATACATTAAATATACACATCTATACGAGCTAGCAAGGCTGAACTCAAGCTCAAGGCAGCCTTGATTAAAGTTGAAATCCAGCCATTAGTAGGCCCAAGATTCATGAGCTGAGACCACGAGCTTCTGAGTAGCTACATTCCTAGCCTTTTCCCCCATTTTCTTTTTTCATATGCTCCCATGAGACCTTGATGAATTTTGTGGATTGGTGGCAAAAGTTCTTATATGCCATGTCCACAGTCTTCCAGTGTCATGAGACACTCGAAAAATATGAAAATAAAATCAACCTAGCTATTGACCTAAAAAAAGTAAAAGAGTTGAACCTGACAGTTTTAAAGTTGAACTGCCCGATTTTGGTTGTGAACCAACCGGTTTTGGAATTCCTTCTTACGGGTTTTGGAAAAGTAAACTGTTGGAATTTGGGTGTGACCCGAATTCCTTTGTTGAGGTATTTGAAGTATTGAAAAATTTCAATTGAAGTGCACATCAAGAGAAATTCAAGTTTGGAATGCTATATGAGTCCTATATCAAGTTGAAATTCTATTTTGAAAACTCATTGGGAGTTAGCGCCACCCACCTGTTTCAGGATTTTTCCGATTTTTGTTTCCTACTTCGTTTTGGACTCGTATTTTGAGAATTCTACTTCATCAACAACTCTACCAAGAGAGTTTGGACGTCCCCTACATGTACCCTATAAATACTAGGCTTTTCTATACAATTTTTTTGTAACAATTATAATGTGAGATTTATGATTACTAGCTTTTAAGATCATTGTAATATTTTTCTCTCTTCTCCATTACTCTTGATGCAATAAAATCTCATAATTCCTCTTATATATTCTTGTCTTCTTTTATTCTTTTGTTCTTGATCAAATACTTTATTACTTTGCCATATAACTTCAACATTTCAATCCGGTGATTGGTGTCACAACAAGTGGTATCAATCCTAACAAAAACAATAAAAAACCAAAATGAAACAATTAATAAAGTTGGATGAATAGTGATTTTAAACTCGAAATCAACACACTCTATATATAGCTAATTTTCTTGATGCATGTTTATGTTACAATGTTCAACCCTGTATCCACATTAACATATTCAATAAACTATCACAAAGTTGTTTTCTTGCATAGGATTCCATCATCATTCTCCCTAAGAACAACCATTTTTTAATGTCAAATAAACATCATGGTACCTGTCTATGGCCAGATATACTGTGTTGCCTTTCATTCCCTAGTAATGGTTGTAAGACCATAGTCGAAAGGAAAGCCAGGATCGAAATGTGGATCACCAACACTCATCGGAGGATGATCGAATGTCCTACACTAAGTACGTGCTAGTTTGCGAGTAAAACCATGGTCACCGAATAAAACATCAGAAACACCTTGCACTTCGGTTCTCGGAAGCCAAGCAGCTACAAGTGCATCCACTTTCGGAAGATGAGGTTCTATTACAACTGGATGACCCGAAATGATATTCACAACACATTTCACATATTCACACAGATTTGTGATTGTGTCATAACCAGGCTTGGTTATTATCAGATTTATGCTATCGCCAACAATTTTCGAATAAGGTAGTTCACGAACTACTACAATGGCGTAAGAAAAGATGTTGGACATCAAGAATTTCCTATCGAGAATTTTCGCTGTAGACAACTTCTATAAAGAGATCAACAACATTCCTCACAGAAGTTAAAATCTTGGTACCTATCAAAAAAGACGAACTGATGCGATCCAAGGTGCCGTTGCAATGAGGACAAGCCCGAGAAAGGATCCGTTGATAATTGAGGAAGGATCGATGACTCGATCGAGAGTGAAACGAGTGAAAGAGGCGATGACATTGCTTGTTCAAGCTATGGTTGATGGCATGGCATTTATAACAAAGAAACGAGCAAGTTCCATGTTGGGGTCGAGGTCGGAAGTCCAATGGATCATGCAGATCGAGGCAGAAGAAAGTGAGGCTGAAATTTATGCCTATACGGCCGCGAAGGCATATACCGAAACTCAAAAGAGTTTTTTTTGTTGTTCCATGCGGCCGCGACCAAATATACCATGAGGCCGCATGGTACAAAAACTGGGCGAAATTTTCTTTTTTACTCGAATTTCCTTATTTTGTTAGAATTCTATTAGATTACGAACTTTTGCTATTTTGGCAAGTTAATTCCATTTTTTACCTAGTTTCTAGGGTTTAGTATAAATACTTATTTCTATTCATTGTAAAGGCACTTCATTATTAATTGAGATTAAATCTTGTGAGGCTTTAAGCTTTCAATCTTGTTCTTCATTGAGCAAACTTCGAACTTATCAAGAATCGAATTCTTGTGGCGTTCAAACTACCGAGCTATATTCATTACGCGTGTGATCAAGAGGTCAACATATTGTCGGCGAGTGTATTGATTGCTTGGTTCATAAATCTTGGGTCGAATCCAAAACCTAGATTAGTTGGCTTTCTTGGATTGGTTCTAATCTCGTTGTGGGTTGCGTAGGTACTATTGTTACGTGGTTCTCATCAGTTGGTATCAGAGCGAGGCTCCAATAATCAAAGGTTATATCTTTTCTTGTTTTGAGTCTTGTTTTTCTTTTGTTCTTCTCGTTCTTCAAGGTATTCCTTAATTCTTGAGTCTTGATCCATAAGAATTACAAAAAAAAAAAGAAAGTTAAAGTTATTTTTCGGGCTATTTACAAGTCCGAATTAAATTTCATTTGTTTCGCTAGTTTTGTAATCACTTTCCCGAGTTAAAAAAATTAAAGTTCGTCCATACTGTACCAAAAAATTTTATTATTATTATCACCGGGAAATTTCCAGCGTCAGATTTCATTCTTGAGTCAAAAAAATGTGTCGAAGTCAATTCAAGAATCACTTTCTTGAATTAAAATTAAATTCACTTTTACTTGTCCAATTCACTGTTCTTTTTTCGTCCCATAGATCTCTTGAAGTACATCTCGATGGGTGAAAGCATTGAGTGGAAGCATTGAGTGGAAAAATGTAGAGTGGTGAGACTAATAGAAGGAAAAAAGCAATATTGAGTGATACACGAGTGAAACACGTGAGGCGTATAAAATCTTAGAATTAGGATGTCTGACAGAGACGGTTCTACATCAAGTGGGAATCAAGATCAAACTGGGATGGCGAATGAGATGTTTCAGCGGTTTGAGAGGTTTTTTGGTGACATGAGGGACATGATGGATAGGCAAGATGCATTACTTGCTGACTTACATATGGATAGCTCTAGGGAGATTCCTAATGTAAGGATACAAGGTAGGCAGTGGCGTAGGATAAATCTTGAAGATGAAATTGAAGCGGGAATTGGAATGGATGAGGATGCATTGGCGGATGTTGACTTGGGAAGAATACATGGTAGAGTAGATAGGTACGAAAGAAGGGATCATGATCGTGTTGGAGATGATGGAAACATGAGCAACATCAAGATGACTATTCCAACATTCATGGGCAAAGGTGATCCAAATGCGTATTTGGAATGGGAAAAGAAGTTATAATTGATCTTCGATTGCCATAATTATTTGGAGGAAAAGAAGGTAAAAATTGCAGTCCTTGAATTTACTGATTATGCTATTACTTGGTGGGATCAAATAGTAACTTCAAAGAGGAGGAATAGAGAGCAACCTGTTATTACCTGGGGGGAATTGAAAAACATCATGAGGAAGAGGTTTGTGCCTAGTCATTACTATAGGGAGCTTTATCAAAGGTTGCAAGGCCTTTATCAAGGGTCTCGGAGTGTGGAAGGCTATCACAAGGAGATGGAGGTTTTGATGATTATGGCAAATATTGAAGAAGATGGGGAGGCCACCATGGCTCGATTTATGAATGGTTTGAATAGGGAGATATAGCATGTAGTAGAATTACAACACTATGTGGAGATGGAGGAACTACTACATGTGGCTATGAAGGTAGAAAAACAATTGAAGAAGAAGGGGACAACTAGGTATTCATCGGGTTCTTCGAGTTCCAATGCTTCATGGAAATCGGGGTGGGATAACAAAGGTGATGGGGTTGTTCAAAAGGGAAGAGTTGAGTTTCAAAAGGGGAAAGCTGAATTTCCAAAGGGTAAAAAGGAGAATACTAACAAGGCTCCAATCAAGGCAGGAGCCCAACCAACGAGGAATAAGGACATCCAATGCTTTAGGTGTTTGGGATCGGGGCATATTGCTTCTCAATGTCTAAACAAAAGGACAATGGTGGTGCGCAATGGAGAGGCGGTGAGCGAGAGTGAAAGTGATTATGAAGACATGCCGGAGTTGGAGGAAGTTAGCAATGAAGCAAGGACGGAGTATGCCGTGGGTGAGTTATTGGTCATGAGGCGAGCTCTTAGTGCTCAAATCAAGACAGATGACTTGGAGCAGCAGCGGGAGAACATATTCCACACAAGGTGTCACGTTATCAATACGATATGTAGTGTTATTATTGATGGAGGTAGTTGCACTAATGTAGCTAGCACCACACTTGTAGAGAAGTTAGGACTTACAATGATGAAACATCCCAAACCATATAGATTGCAGTGGTTGAATGATAGTGGTGATATTAGGGTGGATCATAGGGTTTTGATTAATCTTTCTATTGGGAGTTACCAAGATGATGTTATGTGTGATGTAGTCCCTATGCATGCTGGGCATATATTGTTAGGGAGACCTTGGCAATATGATAGGAATGCGATACATGATGGGTATAAAAATAGGTATACCTTTAGAAAGGATGGGAAGACAATTACTCTTGCGCTATTGACACCACAACAAGTGTTTGAGGATCAAATTAAGTTAAAAGATGAGGATGAGAGGAGAGTGAAAGAAAAGGAGTGTAAGAAAGAAAATCATGAGGTGGCTAATGGAGAGGAAAAAAGAGTGGAACCACATGAGAAAAAAACAATGAGGTTGAGAGAAAAGAACGAGGGATTGAGAGAAAAGAAAAAGAAAATGAGGGAAAAGAAAAAGAGATGAGGGAAAAGACGAGAGAAAATTTCTTTGCAAAAGGAAGTGAGCTGAATAGAGCTATAGTTGATAGGCAGCCCATGATTCTTTTGATATACAAAGAATCACTCCTCAATTCTGAGGAGCCTAACATATCCCTCCCTAATTTGGTATGAAGAAACAACGTCCTTAATCAAGATGTTTTCCCAGAAGATGTGCCTAATGGGTTACCACCCATTCAAGACATCGAACACCAAATTGATTTTGTACTTGGGGCTGTTATTCCAAATCGACCAGCCTATCGTAGTAATCCCGTTGAGACTAAGGAGCTACAAAGGTAGGTGGAGGAGTTGCTAAGCAAGGGGTATGTAAGGGAAAACATGAGTCCATGTGCCGTGCCGGTGTTACTTGTGTCAAAGAAAGATGGAACTTGGAGGATGTGTGTGGATTGCAGAGCCATCATCAACATTACGGTAAAGTATCGATATCCTATTCCTAGGTTAGATGACATGTTAGATGAATTACACGGTGCATGCATATTCTCTAAAATTGATCTTAAAAGTGGTTATCATCTAATTAGGATGCGAGAAGGGGATGAATGGAAAATTGTTTTTAAAATGAAGTATGTGTTATATGAATGGTTAGTTATGCCATTTGGTCTTACTAATGCACCTAGTACTTTCATACGTTTGATGAATCATGTTTTGCGTGCTTTCATAGGTAAATTCGTGGTAGTATACTTTGATGATATCTTGATTTATAGTAAGGACTTGAATGAGCATGTAGAACATTTGAAGTATGTGCTTGTGATTTTAAAAAAAGAACAACTTTATACTAATTTCAAAAGGTATTCATTTTGCATGGAAAAAGTTGTCTTCCTTGGATATGTTGTTAGTGCTAAGGGAATAGAAGTTGATGAAGATAAAATCAAAGTTATTAAAGAATTGCCTACACCTAGAAACATAACTGAGGTTAGGAGTTTCCATGACTTGGCTAGTTTTTATATGCGATTTGTTAAAGATTTTAGCACACTTGCTGACCACTTATAGAAGTTGTTAAAAAAAGTGTAGGATTTAAATGAGGAGTGGAACAAGAACTTGCATTTAAGGCTATTAAGGATGGGCTATGTAAAGTACTTGTTTTAGCATTACCTAACTTTGATAAAACTTTTGACATTGAATGTGATGCGTCGGGAATAGGTATTGATGTTGTTTTGATACAGGATGGAAGGCATATTGCATACTTCAATGAGAAACTATGTGAAGCAGCACTCAACTATCCTACATATGACAAGAAGTTGTATGCCATTGTTCGAGCTTTAGAGACTTGGCAACATTATTTATGGCCGAAAGAGTTCGTGATCCATACTGACCATGAATCCTTGAAGCATCTGCGGGGCCAAGGAAAGCTAAACAAGAGACATGCACGCTGGATGGAGTTCATTAAGACATTCCCATACGTCATCTGATACAAACAAGGTAAAGATGATGTAGTAGCGGATGCGTTGTCACAAAGGTATGTGCTTCTTATTTTTTTTAAGTGCGAAGTTGCTTGATTTTGAATATGTAAAGGATATGTATGTGAATGATGATGATTTTTCTAGTATATAAGTCACGTAGTAAGGGGGCTGTTGATAAGTTCTTTAGGCATGATGATTATTTATTTCGGAAAAATAGATTGTGTTCCTAAATGTTCTA